AAAATTTCGTGAATTTTCGGGGGATTTCGTAGCATAACGATGACATATAGCAATATTTCATTAGTAAAAGAGATTGATATGGTGTTTTCAAATGGCAATATATCAGCATATGAAGATATTGAAGTTTTTAAGTCTGTAGAAAAGAAGTTTTTGAGGAAGAAGAAGAAGTAGTATTTTTTTTTATTTTAGACTTTAGAAACTCAGAAGCTGATCAAATATCGGGTTAAATATCGGTGGGGTGGCCGATGTCCGATATTCAGTTTTAAGGCAGATACAGGCCGATACCAATAGGGGGCCGATTATATTGTGCATCCCTAGTTCAATCACTTTTTCTCTAATCTTTGCATTATGTCTCTACCAGCTTCGCACAATTATTAAAGGATATTTTAGCCCATTATTCTTCAGAGCATGACGCTGCCAGCACTGTGTCTCAAAATGGGAATTTTGTGTTTTTAGGCCCATTTGCATTATAATGTTCTGCATATCAGCCAAAAAATATTATTTTATTCTTTTCTTCTTAGAGGACCTTCTTTAAAATGCTTTCTATGTCATTTAACATACTTGTAGAATGACTCCTTTTGGGTTTCTTTTAAGACTGATTTACTTTTTGCCAATCTTCGATTAAGACCAGATTTATTTAGTACACAGCTGGTAAATGTTCGTAAATTCTGCTACATGATCTCTGTAGCTCCTACAGAGTTACTCTGTGTCCTTTGGTTGCTTCTCTGGTTTCTGTTCTCCCTATCCAAAATCTCCCTTTGAAAAAGAAAAACAGCTTAAGAAGTGTGATTCTACCGATTATAGAAATTGTTTTTTAGTGTTTAAAAACCTTTACTCTATTTCTCCTTTTTTGTGTTTCGATTGTGAAATTGTTGTTAAATATTGCATACAAAGGGTTAGAATGAGCCTTTTTTTCATCTTTAGGTTAAACGAAATCAACAAAACTTGAACAGTTTTAATTGATTTAAACATGAAAAGATAAAAATACAGATTTTCATTCCTCTTCCCTTCCACAGGTCAGGCGTGGGTGTAACGGGTTCTAAGCAGACAATGTTTTACGCGGAGGTGTCCGACGACAACTGCGTGAGTGCCGGCGGAGGCGAGCCCCGCGAGGGGGAGCTTATCGAGGTCGTCAAAGTCCCGCTGCACGAGGCCATGACGTTTGCCTACGACGAACGTATACCCAAAACCATGGGCGTCATTTTTAGTTTCATCTGGTTCCATAATAACATGTCTCCCAAGTACAAGATTTCTACCAATGTGTAACTGCCATTAGTTTAACACTCTTTCTGTCATTTACTGCATATTAAAGTCAAACACTGGTTCAGCACATTTCTGCAAACCCCTCACAGCTCATATCCTGTTGTTGCCTTTTAGCTTATTGGTACACAAACGAGGGTCCTTATCACTTTTAGCTTTTTTTTTTATTTTGATAATCCTTCATACATCAGTTTGCCATAGCTGGTTGC